AATAAGAAAAGAAAATAGAAAAGAAAAAAGAAAAGAAAAGAAAATCGCTATTTGTCGCAGCTCTATTGACTTAGAATCTAATTTCGAAAAGCAAAGAGGAAAAAGGAGAAGGAATGAGTAATATATACTATGATGTGGGAGATAAACGGATGACGACATTACTTGGCTTTTTTCCCACACGTGGTTGTTTCTATGCTCAGTATAAAAGAGAAAGAAGTGCCCTGAAAGGGCAGAAAAAAACGGATCGTATGAATTCTCTTTCTGCTAATTCATTCGAACTTGTCTTTGAAGGTTTGAAATGGAGAGCGCTGAAGATATTGATGATTATTTTAACAAGATTGATAATGCTATCGGTTCAAATACCTCAGATGATCAGATAAGCAGTTTGTTCAGCAATGCTTTGCGAATTATCGATGATGTACTTCAGTATGAAGATGATGATTTAAAATTTAATCAAGCAAAACATCAGTACCATACGAAAAAATCAAGTTATCTAAGGTCGATTGGTAAACTAGACGACGCACAGAAAGAAGAACGTGTTGCCGCGCGTCATGGTAAAAAATTACAGCAACAGACACCTGCACCGCAACCACTACCTCCAGGGTCTACAGAACGACATGAGGACGATGACTACGCTACGAAAATCTCGACGACCACCGCTACCACTTCGCCGCAAGCAGTTAACGCAACCTTTGCTGACGTGAAAACAACGGTTCAAAAATGTTTTGCTGAATTACAATCCTGTCTGTCTCGTTTAAGTATGCAGCCCATGATTAATGAACTGCGGCCACTAGTTGAAAATTATTTCGTTGATTATGTTAAAACATTCGAACAGTACACGAGTTTAGATATGATCTCCTCTCAAATACGATTTACCTTAAATTTGCTAAGAGATCAAGCAATTACAGCGAAAAGTTCGTCTACTACCTCCTCAAGTGCAGCCACATCAACGACAGGCATCACACAAGAAGTAACAGCAGCAACAACAGGTAACACTCTGCCTTTCAGAAGTGACGAATCGAAACTTCCAGTTTTTATTGCTAAACTTGATATATCAATTGTTGAATGTCTTTACGAGTATCGACGTACTTTCTGCCAGTTTCTTCTATCGCAAGAACAGTACATAAGTAAAATACTATTTGAAAATGTTCCGTTAACAGTTAGTTAGTTAGACCCGCTACCATTTCTGGTGTAGGGTGAGAATAAAACATCAGGAAAAAAATAACACAAAAAGAAAAGAGTGTTCAATTTGACGGAAGTAGTGTTCGTTTCTATTGAAAATTGA